AGGGTTTGTTTTTACTTCAAACACAAAGTACGCAAGTTAAAAGAAGTTCAAGGTGGATTTGCTTTCATTAATAGTGTGCTTTGTGCTCGATCCTTCTCGATTCTAAACGGTTCTTCTGGTTCACTGAATTCCTCAATTTTCTCGTAATAACAATGGGGTTTAGGAAGAAATTTGAAGAATTCAATGCGGCAGAATTATAGAAAGCACAAACAAACAAGTTAATCTCTTTTATTACTCAAGTAATTACAAGTTTTTCTCCAGTTTAGCCGATAATTGGACTGGAGAAGTGATGAAATTGACCAAAAAGAAGTGTTGTCAAGGGAAAATTCCTCTCAACTATCGACTTTTTGCAAAAGAAATCCAAAAATATGCAGAGATTTCGAGAGATTCGCGTTTTTTTCCGAATGCAAATAATTTGAGAAAGATTTTCTGAGTTCTCTTTTTACCAAATTGACTTTATCAGACTTTTTGGGATTTTTTTTGTTTAATAAAATGTGGAAATCAATTTCTTTTGAAGATTCTACATTTGTTTGATTCTTTCAAAGGTTCTAGGTGCTGTTTTTGCTTATCAAATATTCATAACATTTCTTGATCTTATTTCTGTGCCCAAAATTTACATGCAAGCTTGAATTTGCATTTAAAAAACGATAACGGCCTTTTTTCAAAAGAGAGCATCTGAAACTGTCAAATTACAAGCTGCCAATCATTTTTTGGATCTGTTACTTTATAAGATGAACTTTTTGGCGGAGGGCAAGTTGCTCCCGTAGCGCAGTCGGCAGCGCGTTAGTCTCATAATCTGAAGGCCGTGAGTTCGAGTGTGACCGCGAGCAATTGATTTTCTTTTTTCGATTTTAACTATTAGGTTGGCAAGAAAGTTCGTAGAAAAAGTTTGCAAAGTGAATTCTCAAGAATCAAGCCATGAATTCTTCCCAGTTTTTGATAAACTTGGCTATATTTCAAAAGATTTTGATGAGAAAAAATCAGAGTGGGCTTCTGGTAAAAATAAGAGATTTCCTCAGCTGAAGTGACTTGGTCACTTTTTGAGTGACCAGCCTTTGGACAAGTTTTTAATGGGTTAATGGATAGGTAGTGAATCCCATTCAAAGCCTAAAATGAAGTACTTAAAACAGGGAAAATTTGTAAACAAGGTAAATTGGGTCTAATTCTTTAACTTTTCAGAATAAATTCTTTTAGTAAACACTCAGTGCCAAGAGGGTGACACGAAAAAATTGTTTTTTGAAATACAGCTTCTCTGTCAAAAATTTGTTGGCTAAAAATAGAGATTAGAAAGCGTATTGCTTATTTATGCTAGCTTTATCTCATAAGGAATCGTTCTGATGCAAAAAGGAATCGTAAGGAATCGTTTTAGGAACACCTGAGTGCGAAGACAGATAAAAAAAAGGAATCATTTTTCTGATGCAAAAAATGAGCTGAATTTAAGCTGGAAAATAATACTGATTTTAAAAACTCTAAAATTTTAAGGGAGAGCTGTACTCATTTTTACGAGTAACTTCTTGGAGTTGACTTGTAAATAATAGAAGAAAATGTTTTTGAATTGGTGGATTCGTTTTTAAGAAATTCCAGTCAAACTGTCATGTCCACAATATGTCAAAAGCTTCCTAACGAATTTGAGAAAGTTCTGGCCAACCATTAATAATGGAAAATGTTCTTGAATTGGTGGAGCTTCAGAATTAAAAGATATTCAGTCAGCTGAATGCATTTTTTTTAATCATACTGTAACATTTGTTATTAAGAACTTTCAGTGAAACTTTTTCTACGAACTTTCTTGTCAATCTAATAGAATTTTGATTGTTTCAAATCCCCGAAAAACTTTGCAAATATTATCAACTAATTTTTAAGAGTTTTGCACACTTTTGAACCATTTTTTCACTCAACTTTAACTTCAAAAAAACCAAAAATCTTTTTAATTAAAGTCATCCATTTTATTATTCGATTTCATTGAAAATTTTGTTTGTTTTTTTATTTATAAAAAAAAATTAAATAAAAAAAAAAAAAAAAAAATTAAAAAAAACAACAAAAAAAAACCAAAAAAAAAAAAAAAAAAAAAAATTTATTTTTCTTTCCACCCTTTTGGGGGGGGGGGGGGGGAAGGAGGGAAAAAAGATATTTTTTTTTTTCCCCCTCTTTCCCCCCCCCCCCGCCTCGGCCCCCCCCGGGCGGGGGGAAACCCCCCCCCCGGAAGAGTCCCCCCCCCCCCCCCCAAACCCCCCCCCTTTCCCCCGGGCCCGGGGGGGAAAAACCACCCGGGGGGGCCCCCCCCCCCCCCCTTTTTTTGGGGGGGAGAACTTAACCAATACACCATGAGGGCCCCCTTCCTTCCGTATTCATCGAAAATCCCATAATTTTGATGATTTTTGGGGAAAAACAACTTTTTCCAAAGTAATGATTTATTTTTCTGTGATTTTTGGTGCGGATTGACCCAAAAATTGAAGTTTTAAAGTTTTCCGACGAAAATTCCTTGAAAACGAGCGATTTTTGAAGAAAAACTCGAGTTTGGTGTTCGAAAATGAATCAGAAATCTTTTCAAAAAAGACTTTAGCCGGAAATCTTTTTGCTTTTTTGTTTTTTGTTTTTTGCTTTTTTGGCTTTTTTGCTTTTTTTGACCAGTTTGATTTATAAATTCGATTTTGAAAGCTTAAATTTTATTTCGTTTCCACGCCAACTGTGAGAACTTTTGCTTATTTTGTGCTTCAAATTGATAAATGCACTTTTGCTATGAGAAAACTGGTGAATTGAGTGTGCCAGCGAGGGTGCGTTTACCAGTTTTTTCAACGCACAAAGTACACTTTTGTTGTGAGTTCTGGATTTCACATTATCATCCCTGGATATTTTTATATGAAAATCCAGTTATGTGTTTTGATTTTGCTGAAGAATGGTAGGGAGTAGGCTAATTTCTGCCATTTTATTTGCGCACACAGGATCATTTGCGCGACTGGGTCATTTGCGCAACTAGGTCTTTTGCGCAACTCGCCATAACTTTCCCCTAAGCCGGCCAATCTTTATGATTTTGATTTCATTTTGTAGATCTCAACAAGTGTAACAAAATGACACCAAAATCATAAAGATTGGTCCACTTAGAAGGAAGTTATGGCGAGTTGCGTAAAATAAATTCCGGAAATTAGCCTGCCCCATTCATTCACTTTACGCAGTGTAAAGTGTAGTAGGCGAATCTTTATGATTTTGGTGTCATTTTGTTACACTTGTTGAGATCTACAAAATGAGACCAGAATCATAAAGATTGGCCCACTTAGAAGGAAGTTATGGCGAGTTGCGCAAATGACCCAGTCACGCAAAAAATTTGGCGCGAAGTAGCCTTTCCCGAATGGTTGATTTAGATTGCTTTCAAATAAAGAATGATGAGAAAATGAGGCTTTTAATCGAAAATGGAATCCACTCGAGACGCAATTGTGGAAATGATCGACGAATTTGAAGAAAATGAACAGGGAATTTCGGGGATAAAAGGGTATCGAGTTTGGATTGAAATTTTGAAGAGCTAGATTTAGAATGAGTCATTTTCAAGAGAACATAAAAGCTTCAGGAATCAAGAGTCGAATGACTCTTTAAAATGTCGAGTTTGTGGGAGAGAGCCGGCTTCATACAATTATGGATCGATCACTTGCACGTGAGTTTGAAATTGAATCTATCCTTGAGTAACTCGTTTTCTAAAACATCGCAAAAACTACAGTAATCTTTGTAAGCTAATTTCTGTACTTTTTTGTATTCTCTATGAACCGTAAACCCATTTGAGTCCAATGGTGAGGAGGTTTTTAAAATCAAAACCTAGATATTTACCTAAATGTGCCTAAAATATTAAACTACTAGCATTGAAAAGCGTGTCAGTGTTGGTAATTGGTAAAGGATGGTTCTTTTTGAGGATAGGTCCAAGAAAAAAAGCTCTACTAGCGTACTTTTTGTTTTGGTGTTTTTTTTTTTTTTTTTTTTTTTTTTTTTTTTTTTTTTTTTTTAAAAAAACTTTTTTGTTTTTTTTTAAAAATTTTTATTTAAAAAAATAAAAATTTAATAAAAATTTTTAAATTTTATAAAAATTTTTTTTTAAAATTTTTAAATTTTTTTTTTTTTTTAAAATTTTTTTTTTAAAAAAAAATTTATTTTTTTTTTTTTTTTGGGTTTTTAATTCACCAACATACATTGAAAGTTATCTTCAAATTATCTTATAGCTTACACAAAATTTATTACAGTCGACTCTCGATATAACGATTCTATCGGGATTGCGAAATGGAACAGCTACCGTATTTTCTCTAATAGTAGTGCACCCTGAGCGTCGCCTAAATTGCTCGAAATCTCGAGAACGGCTTATCAGAACCTATCGATGTGGGGACGGAAAATGTAGCTGACGATGAGATCTAGTGGGGGATTAGAGTGTTGAGCTTCTGCAGAAGCTTGGAAACTGTAAAATAGTCATCAACTCGGCTCGGCGGGGTGCACTACTATTAGAGAGAATACGGTATTTATACTTTGTTAACAAAATCCTTAAAAACTTGTGTTAACACTAAAAAATAATCGCCATTCTTGAATTCTTGAATCTCGATCTTAAAGCTCTAGTGGATTCCATTATAAGATCCATTCCACTCTTGTGAAGAGTTTCCAATGTGTTCATTCTTCATAATTGAGTCGAAAGAATTCTACATTTCAATTGGATACCGCGGAAAAATGTATCGACCATATACCCCCATATGACCGATATAATTCTTCTCGAAAAAGTCGAACAAAACTAAATGTGCTTAGTTCCATCATATAAAAGAAGACTCACCCATCAAATGATTTTTCCGGCTTGGAAGAGCAACCAGAGCATCATTGACGAGATTATGAAAATAAGTCTTGACATCGATCGACCGAACATAAGTGTGAACCATTAATCCTTGAACGAAGATTTTGTTAATAGGATCCTGGTATACATCAGACAAGTTGTTTTTCTAAAACACAATTGTATTAACCTTTTATGATTAAAAACCTGAATAGCTCTTGAAAAATGATTTTTCCGGCTTGGAATCCACTAGAGAAAATACGGTATATCAAAAAATCATTATATCGAGCAAGTCGCTATATTGAGAGTCGACTGTACTTTTGTTATTTATTCTTTTAAATTAGGTTAACTTTTTCTTTTTAGTAGTTGTAAAGTGTTCTTCCTGCGAGCCACCACTTCTGGCGCTCGAGCGGCTGAATGTCAGAATCGAAAATTGTGCGAGAAACAGGATTTTCGTGGGAAAGGTATCTTGATATGGAAATGAAGAGGTATATTAATAGTTTTATAGTTATATTAATAGTTATATAGTTATATTAATGGCTATATAATTATATTAATAGTTATATAATTATATTAATAGTTATATAATTATATTAATAGCAAATAGTTAAATACAAATTTCAGGTCGTTCTAAATGCATTCCTTGCCGCTACACGAAATGCATTAAAGTGGGAATGATACCAGAAAGTGAGTGAGAGAGGAAATCTCCTTAAAACGAGATTTAATTCTGTGTCCAGATAATTAAAATACATCTAGATTTTCAAATATTGAAATATTTAGTCACAGCACGTCGTCAAGGTTGCAAATTGCGCGAGAAACGAGCCAATGTCGGCTTTCGATTGAAGAAAAACGGGAAAATTTTGACGCAATTCGAGCCCGAGTCTTTCACTCGCGCCACCCCGTCGCCTGATTCTGTAAGATCAAAAATTTACTCGAGTTAAAGGCTCTCAATTATTTCCTGGATCATTCAATCATTCAATCATCATCATTTCAATCCAACAATTGTTTTAGAGAGAACTCCAACTCGTAGCAAAGACTTTCAAAGCCCCGAGCATTCCGAATGATATGAAAACGATTTGGGATTTGAAAGGACTTGTGGAATTGGATAGGTTTGTGGAAAAGTTGGATGGAGAAAAGGGAAGCTTACAAAAATGCTGTTCGGAAAAGAAGTGGTCATCGGTTTGAGCCTCGTTGATTTTTCAAGGCTCATTTTGGTGTCGGAATTGGTTTTACCTCAGACACAACATGATCAAGTTCATTTTTTCTATGATTTTGTGAATATGGGGGTCATGCATCAGCCCGGGAGCTCAAAATCCACGTATACATGAAAAGCATAACTTTTGAATTCCTCTATTTCTCTCTTTTTGTCGGTGAACAAGTTGCTCCAATAGCGCATTCGGCAGCGCATCAATCTCATAACCTGAAGGCCTCACCCTTCTACTTTTTGTTTCTATAAATTTGTTTTGATGTTAGAATCTTGAAAATCGGTCCTGGGAAAGCAGAAACAAAAGGATTTTTAAAAAATTAACTATATTCTCAAGATTCTCAAGATCAATCCAACAATACAAATTGAAATTGTGGCTAGAACACTAAAAGAACAAAAAAGAAACAAAAGGTAGAAAGATTTGAAATAGAGGAATTCAAAAGTGTGTTTTACGTGGATTTTGAGCTCCCCAGCCCATGCATGACTCCAATTCACCCCAAAAAAATGAACTTGATCTTGTTATGTGGCGCCTGAGGCAAAACCAATTCTGACACCACAATAAGCCTTGAAAAATCAACGAGAAAATTTTTCTAGATTCAAATCGATGACCACTTTTTTTTCCGGACACTCTGTAGATCTCATAGTACTTTATACAAAAAAAAAAAACCCAGAATTTGCTCAAATTTTTCAGATTTCTTCAAAACGATCAACCCTGCACCTCGGTGAAGTTTGATTTCAAATACAAGTTGAACTGCTCAATGCGAGATGTGCTCAACAATCCGACAACGATTTGCGCCAGAGTACCGGTGAGTTAGACCAAGACTATTAGGAGATTTGATTTTTGTATTCAAGACTTATCTATTAGACTATTGGAAAAAGGAGACTTTATCTATTGGAAAAAGTCTATTAGACTTATCTATTGGAAAACGGAGACTTTCCGGTCAACCTGATATTTTCTAATCTTATCCTTTTGCTTAGGTTGGTTTCCATCTCTCCACTAATCATCAAGTACCTGAAAACTTGCGTCAATCAATGGGCGGACGGACATTCGCTCGCTCACTTGTGCTCATCTCGGATTGGATTCGATCGATTCCAGAATTCTGGCAGCTGGATGAAGTGGATCGGGTTAGGGAAGAATTTGGAGACTTAAGGAAGACGTAAGCAAGCTGTGATTGACAGGGTTAGACTCAGAGCTCTTGTTTTTGATTTGTTCTGGAATTAGATCTGATCTGATATGGTCTGGAATTAGATCAAGCTCAGAACATTGTGTAAGTGACGTTTTAAATTGACCTAGCTTTGTGTCTGGTCATAAGCCCGGTTTGATTTGTGGCCTGATCCTGAGCCTGAACCTAAGCCTAAGCCTGAGCCTAAGCCTAGCCCTAAGCCTAAGCCTAAGCCTAAGCCTGAGCTTGAGCCTGAGCCTGAGCCATAAGCCAGACCAGGTCTGACCCATATGGTCACCGATCAAACCAGGCCCTGCCCGACTAGCCTTTGAATCAGCTAGAGTAGTTCTAAGATAAGCTTTAGACGAATGTCAGACCTAACTAATATCACGTCGAATATTTTAGCTTATCAGCTTTAACTGTCAGAATTTCACCATTCAGGTGAATCTCTGTTGTCAGCAATATCTCCGTCAAATCATCTTCATTGATTTCTACTACACTTACAAGTACAACTATGACGGTTTCCTTGTTCTTCTTGGCACACGAGTCTCCAAACATGATCTACTATTATATAAAGAGTTGGTTAACTAATCAGTTATGAGAAATCTAGAAGAAGCTTTTAACAAAATCTCTAATTCCAGTTTGGCGAACTCGATGGGTTTTTTGATTGAATTCGGGCTTTCCACGATCATTCCCTCAATGAAACGAGCCAATATTTGTGATGAGGAATTCGTTTTGCTCAGGAATATCATTTTGTTCTCATCGAGTGAGTTTGAAAGAGATGACTGAATGAAGACTAAATTCCGATTTCCCAGGTGTTCTTTGAGTGCGCTAACAATTGCGAACAATCGCACGTCTCCCCGATAGATACCCTCCCCTTGCCTCGTTCACTATCGCTTCTGGCCTCTGGCTAAGACAATCATTTACCCCAACGACAGAAAGCAAAAGATTAAAACGCGGGGAGAGCCGTTTCCGATCCAAGTATTAACCTAGGACAATGTTGCTTAACCTGGGAGATCGGCGGGATGCCGTTCTTTCAGCCTGATCATTACAACATTCAGCACTGAGAGACGGTTGAAATAGTAAAAGAAAGAGAGATCCTTTTTCATCAAAGAGATCCCAAGACTTTGTACCCTTTGTTTGTACCCTTTGTCTATCTCGTGGGAAAAACGGCATCTAACGCACGGCCTTCACAGATAGCGCGACAGAGATCTCTCACTCTGGTTTAATTACCCAAGTTTGAGGATAGCATTAAGCCCGAGACCTCTAAAAGTGTCTTGGAGAAATTTTGGAAAGCGCCGCCGTGAAGGGGATGCAAAAAGCAAATGTGAAAATTGAAAGTGGAAAAAAAGAACAACATTCAATTCCAGCAATCGGCTTCACCGATCAAAGCGCCACGGTGATGCGAAAAGCTTTCTCTAAATACTGTAGTATGCTGTTTGAAGTGAGAAGGGGCATTTTCCTCTCAATCAAAAAAATTTGCAGTATCAAAAGTCGAAGTTTGGTGACGAGACGATAGTGATCGAGAAGTTCACTGAAGCGATGGCACATCCAAGTTATTTGCAGGTTAACAATTAGATCATATATGTAATCAGGAGCAAATCTAATACTGCAATCTATACCAGAAAAAAGGTCCAATAATTGAGAGTTTTTAGCTTGATTTGACGATGAATTTTGATTTTCTTAAAATGAAATGAACACTCTGTTTTGTTATTCAAAAAAATCACCTCTAAACTTTGGAAAGTAAATTGTTTTTCTTTTCTGAATTGCTTATTTAGATAAAAATAAATCTAGTTAAACTTTTAATGATAAAAAAAGTCATAGAGAGAAAATTTCATGTAAATTTACTCGTTCGTTGTTTGTAGGAGCGAGGAATTTCCTTGTTCTCTGATCAAACAAGGAATCTCCTTGTTCTAAAAAATGATCTCCAACTCAAGTAATCTCTGCAGAAATGTTCAAACACATAAAAGAGATCATTATCGTATTTTATCTAATAGTAGTGCACCCCGCCGAGCTGAGTTGATGACTATTTTACGGTTTCTAAGTTTTCGCAGAAGCTCAACACTCTAATCCCCCACAAGGTCTCATCGTCAGCTACATTTTCCGATCCCACATCGATAGGTTCTGATAAGCGGTTCTCGAGATTTCGAGCAATTTAGGCGACGCTCAGGGTGCACTACTATTAGGGAAAATCCGATCCAGACGTCCGATCCAGACTTAGATTTAGAATGATCGGCTTGATTCTAGATCAAACGTTTGACCTCACTTCACTCAAATCGGACGTTCGTTCAAGAATCAGTCTAGATAGGATGTAACATATACCGTATTCTCTCTAATAGTAGTGCACCCCGGCGGGCCGAGTTGTTGACTATTTTACAGTTTCCTGGCTTTCGCAGAAGCTCAACACTCAAATCCCCCACTAGATCTCATCGTCAGCTACATTTTCCGATTCCACATCGATAAGTTCTGATAAGCGCTTTTCGAGGTTTCGAGCAATTTAGGCCTCAAAGTACTACTATCAGAGAAAATACGGTTTTAATAAACTTCCAGTATCTATAGGTAAATTCTTGTAAAGGTATCTAGCGTAGATTTCGAGAAACATCTAAATATGCACTCTTTCATAATTGATACACAAAAATCGGTTTTTGCCCTCCGATATCTAAAGAAAACAAAGAACAAAATGTTATAGAAGCAATTTGAAATAAAAATTCAAATCCTGAAATATATTTTATAAAGACGAATTTCCAGGGTATTAGCCAGAAACTCTACGCTCAATTCGGGAAAGCCGTTCTCTGTAAAGAAGCCGGTCTCTTCGGGAAACTCGCTGAAGAAGTTTTTCGCAAATCTTAATTTCTAACTTGATGAATCTGTGATTTTGCAATTTTTGAAATTTTTCATTAAATTTACCACTTAATCTTTCAATCTGGACCACAAAAAACCCTTCGGCTAATTTTTGATTGTCTTTTCTTTTCAATTTCATCTTCTATCATCATTTTTCGAAACTATGGAACTCACATGAGCTTTTCAATAAAAAATTTCATCCAATTCAGTGCATTTTTGAAAATTTGGATTTCAACTGAATATTTGTTCTTTACGTGCATTTTTGGATATTCAGCTAATTGCCATAACAACACCAGCTTCATTTTGTTTGAGTAATCCGATAATCCTTTGATCTGGAGGTGGTTATGTACCAGAAATGAACTTAATTATAGCCATAACAACACCAGCTAATTTTGTTTGACTAACTAATCCGATAATCCTTTGATCTAGAGATGGTTATGTACCAGAAATGGACTTAATTATAGCTTTAATATCTAAAATCCTAATCTTAAAATACTTTTATTGTGATAACAAACGAAAAAGGCTTACTAAAGTCGCGTTTTCCACGTTGGCGTTTTCCAATCTAAGCCCCGCCCCTTTTTGCCAACGAACAGACGTGTTTCTGTTTTATTTATAGTAGATTGAGCTCGGTTTTCAACTCAAAAATTCGAATATAAGTTTTGAGTTGAATTCCGTTCAAATTATCATAGCTTCTAGTAAGATTAAGATCAAGAATTGTAATTGTAAGTGAAATATTACTGAAATAATTGCACGCTTATATCTCGAACACCAACGCGTGTCAACAAAAAAGCGATTACAGATTTGGAATCCTCGTAATCGATTTATCTTTGTGCCTTTGTTTCGTGTCGAAATGTCACAGTCAGTTCTGAACGTTCCCTTGTGAATGCTGAGTTACACTTAAAATACAAAGTCCGCGTAATTATTGAACACCAGATTTGGAATCCTCGTAATCGATTTACCTTTGTGCCACTCGATTTACTCGATTTGATAATTGGGTTCTTAAAGGTTGACATGGCACTGGTTTCAGCTCAAAGATCTGTATTTGAGTTGAATTCCTTCCAAATTCTGAGTTGAATTCTGAGTTGAGTTGAATTCCTTCCAAATTATTATAGCTTCTAGTAAGATTAAGATCAAGAATTGTAATTGTAAGTGAAATAAGTGAAATATTGATGAAATAATTGCATCATTCTTATTGTCTTACTGCGAATAAAACCCCCAATTCGCCCCCTCTCCACCATGACTCCTTGGCGCAATGGTAGCGCGTTCGACTCCAGATCGAAAGGTTGGGGGTTCAAGTCCCGCAGCGGTCAAACACGTCAAATTTTTTTTAAAAATGGATGAGAATTCACGAAACTTACTTTCTAAGTCCTTGTAGTGTCAAAAAATTCTCTTTTCGCTTTTTTCCGCCAATCATGCAGCTTTTACACTATAAGTACCTTATGGAATGATTGGAAAATGGATGAGAATTCACTATAGAAGTTGTGCTTGATTTTTAGCCTCGATTAGTATTTTTCCTATGTAAAAGTGTTAAAAGATACAGATAGATTTTGTTTTTTGTAAAAGCTAACTCAATTTCTCATGTATTAATCGTTTTAGCCCAGTTTTAGGTTATCCAAAAGCCATTTTTAAGCCAGTACAGGCTGGGAAACGGGTTTTTAGTCTTTTCTATAATTTGACTAAGTCGACTTTTAAACTAGTTTACTAGTTTAGTTTAGTTTACTTTCCTTTACTATACCCACAGATATAGTTTCTGCTTCCGTTCTTGTTTTGGCGAACTTCCGCCTTCCCGATCCACCCAAAAAGTGGAAATGGAAAGGGCCCACCGCACATCCGCGCGAAATGGTGTTCTCTATCACTCTCTATCTATCGTTTGAATATCCATTCGACGCAGAAAATTGTGCTGAATCGAATGGTGAAGAAATTATCGAAATCCGTCTGACTCGATTTTTTAAAATCGCCTTTTATCAAAAAAAAAACCGCACTTTTACAATCAACTCGCTCGCCGCGACGAACTTTCGAAAGGGGACGGGGACCCGGACGGGAATCGGGTTTTTAGTCTTTTCTATAATTTGCTGAAGTCTACTTTGAAACTAGTCTAGTTTAGTTCAGTTTACTTTACTATACCCACAGATATAGTGCGACAACTCCCCCCTTTCCGATCCACCCAAAAGTCGAAAGGGAAAGGGCCTCCATGTCCCCTTCCCCAAAAATCTTTCTCTTTTTTTCACTAAAACTCTTATAACTTTTTTCAAATTCAAGATTTTTGCAATCTTTTTTCACTTTCAAATAGTAGAAACATTTCTCTATATTCCCATATAAATTATGTAAATAAATGTTAAGTTTTTGCTTCAAAATAGTCAAAAATCTCAAAATTTATTACTTTAACTTTAACTTTGACTTTACTTTTACTGGAAAACTTTTTCCAAAACAAAGTTTGGTCAAAAATAGTTCTTCAAGGCTCTAAATTTTTAATACAACTTTAATAGTTTGATTTAAATTTGTTTTTAAAATTTTTGAAACATTTATATAATTTAGCGATCAATAATGTAAAATATTTCATAGAAAGATGCGAATAATTAGAGTTATGAGTAGTTCAATGATTAGTTCACATATAAAGACATTAATCACTGTATTGATTTTCGAATTCGTCTGTGAACGAATGAGATCTTTTAGCTGAAGGCCAAGTCTTGTTCGTCTTCCGTTAACTCTTGAAATTCATCGGATCCGTCTTGCTTTTGATAATCGAGATCTTCTTTAACAGGAGGGCATTTTGTATAATAAATATAATATAAAGATGCTAATAATTGAGCACAAAATGAAGCTAATGAAATGAAGACATTCATCACTGTATTGACGTGAACGAATGAGATCTTTTACGTGAAGGCCTAGGCAAGTCTTGTTCGTCTTCCGCTAACTCTTCAACTTCACCTTCATCCCATGCGTCTTACTTTTGATAATCGAGATCTTCTTTAACAGGAAGGCATTTTGATGAAATAGATTCTTTATAAAGATTCCAAGCAAACTGTTCTATCGGCGAGGTTTTATCGGCAGCGGATGTCCTCCGTGAGGTAAAGGAGAATGGCACTTCTAAGTACCCGGGTACTTTAAAGCCAAGGGAATTGTCGGAAAGCTGAGGGGTGCACAGCTCTGGGGGATCTTGGGGATCTTGGGGGATCTTGGGGGGATTTTCTAAAAATATAGATCCAAAAATACGCGATATTTTTACCCGGAACTTTTTGAAAGTTCTTATCTTATTATTCAAAGAAAACTGGAGAATTGTGAAACAGGAAGTGCACCAGGAAGTGTGTGTTTACAGAAATTGAGCACAAAATGATGCTAAAGAAAGCCAGCGTTAACGATGAGGTTTTTGAGAAATCAAAGAAGGTTTTTTCAAGACAAAAAGCTATCGTTTATCGTTTTCGATTCATTTATCCAATTAAATAATCTTCTTAAATTGTTAGAATTGATTAGAAGGAGAAAATTGATACTCGTTTACTGTTTTAACGTTTAAATGCTCTTTCTCATGCACTCAATTCCTCATTTTCTCACAGAAAAGTGCGTTTTTGCAAAAGAAAATGATGAATTCAGTGCTCCAGAAGGCTGGGTTTACAAATTTTCAGCATAAAGTACGCCAAAAAGGGATAAAGATGAGATGATTGACCCCCTTCCCCCTACCCAAAAGTGGGAAGGGAGTGTCTACCCACTTTTGGGTGGGTGGGGAAGGGGGATTGCCGCACTATACCCACAGAGTTGGACTTGACCTGGTTTCTGAGCTGGATTTGCAAAATTAACAGGTTCTAGAGCCCCGCTGAAAGATTCTCGACCCTGAATTCATAAGAACAATAAATTCCCAGGCTCTTCTCTTCTTTCCCCTTTAAGCTTTATGAATTTTCTGGGAAATTCTGAAAAATTAACCAACTTGCAGATTTACAGTCAATAATCCTCTCAAAATCCAAATTATCGCAACTGTGCAAATTTGATTTTGTTTTCTTGTATAATAGAAGTTATATAAGATTGATATGCCGGTAATATTGAAGCCAAGAGTTGTAATTGTTGGTGGGATAGGGCTATCCAATAAATCACCCTTATTATTAGTTTTCTAATGAGAATAATAATTGTCATTCGCCTGGCCGATCTCGTGACTCCTTGACGCAATAGTAGCGCTAATAGATCGAAAGATCGAAAGGTTAGGGGTTCAAATCGAAAATCTCCAAATCCAAATCCCTTAGGGGTCAAAGATCTATTTTTGAAAATAGATGCCATTTTAGAAAACATTTTAGAAAAAGGATTTGCTGAGAATTCACTACATGTACTTTCTGAGCTTTCCTTTGATTGAATATCTTTTTCAGTTTCTTTTCCCGGAAATCTTGTAGATTTTAAATGACGACTAAACTTTTTTACAACACTGATACTTCAAATTTTAGATCTAATTTCACCAAAAAATGTCCAGTATTTTGACTGAATATTTTAAACTGTACTGTAGCTCGAAAAGCGATTGAGAAACAGAATCGCCTTACAAGGGAGGTTCGTCAACTTACCATCAGCTTTTAAAACGTGGCCTAGCACATCTAGACGAGTTTTTCGTGCTGATTCCAAATCTGCCCTCAAATCGACTCCGGACCAGTTAGAAGGTTGGCTCGCCCTATACATATTCAAAATACTAAAATAAAAAAGTGTTAGAAATTGTTTTTAAAAAAAACCAAAAAGAAAAGTTGCACCCGGATCCGAACCAGGGATGCAAAAATCTGACCGTAGCGCACTAGCACTACACCATTTGATCACTTACCGTATTTTCTCTAATAGTAGTGCACTACTATTAGAAAAGAATTGGAATTTACATTTGCATAGATCGCTGTTCTTGATAAGATTTCTAAAATATACACCTAACCACACAAATAATGTAGCACAAAACAATACACAAGCACAATCCTTAAGCCCTAAATGTAGAGAAGAAAAAGACCCATATACTGTATCCTCTCTAATACTAATGCACCCTGATCGTCGTC